TTCTATTTTAATACCATATTGGCTTTTATTCTTGCTAACAAAATTGTGTATTAAATGTACTACTGAAATGTTTTCTTGTATGATCAGTGAAATAGTCAGATGTGAGTATATGGACTTTGGAGATTGCCCATCCAGCTATATTCTAAAAGCAGACTGAAATTCTAGAATGTTCATTTTCATAAGCTAACTAAACAATTTGACCCATCTATTCTAGTACCATTTAAATCAGTTTTGATGTCAACTTATTGACATCAATAATTATCTTAATATTGCATAAATAAAATGATCATAATTATTAGATTTATAATAATTGGACTAATGTAGCCTTGGCCTGATTTGGCATTGCTGTTCTCATGAGAACTTGAACTTGGATGTCTTTGGTCCAGTAGAAAACTTAAATAACTAAACTCAACTGCCTTTTAGTTGTTTACATGCATGTTATCAAAGCTGACTAAAACAGGAAGGCTCCAATGGCTGTTTCTTTTCATGCCTGCTGTCAATTGTATCATTGTTTACTATAGTTATTTCCTGTCTTTTCTCTTGAAAGCTTAAGGAGCAACACCTGAGAATCTCCTCTATTTTAATGCCTACAGTAACTATGAAGTGGGTGCATTTAGTTTAAAAAGAGTAATCTACCCAAATACATGTAATGAATTCTGTGGACATGACCAGCTTTTCAACTTTCTTCTTGGTATCTGTTAGAGATGGAAGTTACAATAATTGCAGTCTAAAAGAACTTGATGTCAACAAGTTGAAGATATTTTAGTGGCACAAGTAGGCTAACAGAAGATGTATTGGACATTTTATGCATCAACACCAATTTTGCCATTAGCTGGTTCACACATCAAGCCCTTTTTTTGTTTTAACTAAGAGTTATGGAATAGTGACTGGGTTGACCCATTATGCTAAATTATAAGATAGTGTGAAACAAATCAGTTTGATTGGAAATGCCTGAATATATGAGAAGAATGCAGTTGTGATTTATTAACTATGCACTGTCAAAATATATGTTGTTATTCTTAAAATACTCTGTCTTTTGACATTTAATAACTGGGCACTCCCTTAGATTCAATTTTTTTTTTCATTTCAGTTCATGAATATATGGACTTAATTTTGCAATATATTTTAAAACTTTGAATGCTGATATGCTGCTAATTGTCAAGGAAGAATTTTCCATGTTTTATGTTGTTTTGCTTTTATTATGTGAAAATTCTCTACAGTAATTGATAAGCATCCATGAAGGGTCCATTCCTCTAGTCAAAATCATATTATTGCATAAAAGTAGGAACATGGGAAATAACATTCCAAATTATTTTTAAACTGCTATTTCCCATAGGAAAACAGGATATGCCTTTTCTGTTGTCCAATCTTGATCTTTCTTTGAGACAGTAAAATTTTATTATAAAATTTTATTATATTATAATAGGAGCCATTGCAATTTTCATTTGTTATTTGCATTAGGGAGACGGTTTCCTATATTTTAAAAAAAGATTCACAGAACAATACTGCTGCTATCTATAAATAGAGGGAGTACAATCATAACAGGAAGATGGAGATTTTAAAACAACAAAGAAGAAGAAGAAGCTATATACAGCATTGTTCTTTTGAAGCAATTAGAAATTCTTTAAACAAATTGGCTTATGTAAATAAGAGTTTTGGTCAAGATGTCATAGCCATTGTTTAGTGTTCTTTAATCATGACAGCAACAACAAGGATTATTCAGGCATTGCATTGACTAAGCATATAACATGCCATTAGAAGTGTAATTGGAGATATTGCAGTATTTATTCTTAACTTAAAATATTTTCACTAACGGGCTAATTTTCCACCTGAAAATTGCATTGAACTTTCTATTTCAAGGGAAATATTTATGAAGTTGCTTTATGATAGAGGAGCTTTTCCCATCTGCACACGTGTCATGGTACAATTGGTAAAATTTGCAACCCAATTTTCTGCCTTTTTAAGGCTTAAAATACAAAAGCTACCCTGTAAGCTATTAAATATGATTAGCACAGATTTTAAAAATGAAACATTCAATTCTTCTCAAAACTTGGAAAAAGAAATGTATCTGTGTGAAAGACCTGTCCATTGTGCATTATAACCTGCCTACTGCAGCTCTAAAATCTTCCAAATTATCTACCTAGGTTTATCCAAAGCCCATATTTTAAATATTTTTCAATGACCCCCAACTTAGAATAAAAAAAGAAGTAAAATTCAGATGCCCACAATAAACCTCTTGATCCAGAACCTTTTCATCCACGCTGCTGGAATCTAAACCAGAGCAAAGGGGAGAGAATGCTGAATTGGTTTGAATGCTGAAGAAGTGCCTTAGGAGTAATTGTTTGTCAGCAGCAAGTTAGTTATACAACTGTTAAGCTCAGAGGGTGCTTGGCTATCTAGAGCTTAAGTAGGCACATGACTCAGTGAGCAAACAGAATGTATAGTTTCCCACAAAACTGCTGTGTTCTTATAAACTTATGGGAGTTAGCTAAACTCTTACATTTTTAAGAGTCTACTGACTGTACTTTAATTTGGCAATATAGTGCTGGCCTCAACTGGCCAAGACCTGACTTACACTTTTGCTTATTTCTTTTGTTGTAGCCCAATTGCTGTTCTTTGAATTTAGGTCTGTCTGATTGCCCCCAATACATGGTGGAGCTACCCAGCCTGAAATATCTTCAACATGTTGGGAGAGGCTCCAAGGTTGTTCAAACTCCAGAATTCCATGTGGATTGTTTCCAGTATGCACCAGATCCACCTTGCCTGGGAGATCTTAGGTGTCTTACACTTTGGGCAAGTAGTTGGGAATGGGTTTCATATTAGACATATTTGGTGCCCACCAGCAGAAAGTCTGCATAGCACACCCAAAAGGCTACAGGATGGTCAATTCTGGCAAATTCTAAGGAGTTTTCTGCACCATTTTCCAAAGCTACCTAGCTTTATTTTCTGCCAATGATTCTTAAGGCTTCTTATTTCTTCTACATAATAATTCAAAACCACATTAGTATGGTTCAATGCTACTTCTTTGTGAATTCTAGGCAATAACCTCTTTACATGCATCCTTTTCTTTCTTACTATGTCAGAGAAGATTACAATAAGAAACTAAACAGATTCCACAAACTATCAAAGAAACCATGTGCTTCAACACAAAGAACAATTGGGTTATTATGAGACAAGCTTATATAATTGTGGTAGGTAGTTCTTCAACATACCTATCAAGCAGTGGCTAAGAATGAAAGGATTGTTCTATTGTGTGTCCTAGATACCTGTGGTATTAGAGCCGAATATATTTCCTACGTTAGCTGGGCCTGTGAATCTTAAATCAATTTGCAAGAGACATTTAAACTCTGTGGAAATCTGTTCACTGTATTACCTACTTATTCACAGCTATGGATTGGACATAATTTATCCGAGAATATCCAGTCTGACCTTTTAAATTCTAATCAAGAAATGTGTAATGTTATTTTGAAGTTTGTCAGGCTCAGTAAAATGTAGTCCTTCATTTTCCTGAGCAAGCTGAAAATGTCAACTATCTCTTACTCCATTATATCTCAACATTGACCAAAATAAATGAACAGTGCCTCAGACCACATACCATGCCTAAGGTGATATTATCTGGGTGTTTTTCTTAGAAAACACATTTTTGTCACTGATGAGAATCAGACAGGAGAGCTAAAACCTTAATACTACTCAGTCCCTCCTATCCTTTAGCACAGTGTTTCTCAACCTTGGCAACTTGAAGATGTCCGGACTTCAACTCCCAGAATTCCCCAGNAGCAAATCTAAGCTGTAAACCATATTTAAAAAAAAAACACAGCGACTAGTTGTACCTTTAGATCAGTGTTTCTCAACCTTGGCAACTTGAAGATATCCGGACTTCAAATCCCAGAATTCCCCAGCCAGCATTCGCTGGCTGGGGAATTCTGGGAGTTGAAGTCCAGACATCTTCAAGTTGCCAAGGTTGAGAAACACTGCTTTAGCATAGTGAAACATACTGTGGTATTTTAATATATTAATACATTTAATATGCCCTTTGTGATTGCACCTAGTTTCATTTCATGCATAGAGAATATCAATTAATTAAGCTAATAAAAAGTTATATAAATTAAATAACAAAATTATTTTATTCTGGCAATTTTAGCTTTTTATGTCTGTAGCCTTTCCTGAAGATGAGAGATTAAATAACTAGGATATGTTTAACATGTGCTGTTAAATAAAAAAGAAATAGTCTATTATTAGCAGGGTGGATCTGCTTTCCTGACTTCAACTTAGAACTTCCAAATGATAATGTTGCAGAGAACCAGAATTATAACCATGGATGAATTAATAAATCTAGCAATTCAGAAAAAAATGAAGATGAACATACTGAGCGCAATCACTAAACTGACTGAGCTCAGTGATGTAAAATGGAGAGAGACAATTGTAGTTATGTGTGCTTGGTACTATACTTCAAACTGTGCATTGTTATGGATTAAATAGAAAACTAAAAATTATTTTAAGTCCAATATTATTTATCATTTACAACATAAAATCATGCAGAAATACTTAAAATATTAAATAATTTAATTGCTGTTATTTACAGCACAGAAATTAAAATAATAACCCAATTTCATCAAAGGATATTTTAGAAATTACTGTAGTGACACAAAACAAATATCTCTGTGGATCAGTGGTGATCTCCAGTGGCTGCAATGGCTATTTGGTGTGAATTTGTAGTCAAGCTGTAGTCTACCCAAATCCAATTCTGCTTAGCGTTCTCATGATCAGCTAAGATCACTATAGGATGTATCTTATTTGATAGAGGATGAGATTTTATTTTAATGGGGCAGGGAGGAGAAAAAAGAAAAATCAAATCTGAAAATTTGTATTCTGGAATCAGATTTTATTAAAGTTTTTTTAAACAATTCTTAGATATTTTACTTATACATACCATAATAATATCTTTCTCCATATATTTGTATGCTTTCAATAATAATATATTATTTTTCTTATATTTGTAGGTATTAGGCTTCCTAGTGTGGATGTTGATTGCTGGAACTGACTATTTCCTGTATCCTGTCTTTGGATGGATAATGTTTGTGGCTGTGTTTTACTGGATTCTTACACTTTTTTTTTTGATCATTTTTTTGACAATGATTTATACGAGGATACCTCAAGTGCCATGGACCATAGTCGTGAGTACACATTCATTTTTTTTACAGGAAACTCAAATATACTGTATACTACAGAAAAGAGGGCCCTGTGACCTTCATACAGACCTATAGCAGCCTTTTGACATTTCCCAGAACAAGTGCATTGGATGAGGCCATAATAATTGGCTTGGCATTGTTAGATTAAGAAGATGGATGCAGAAACTAATACAGTTCCCTTAAGTAAATGCACAATACATTTTAAGTGGAGCTGTATTTCCCAGGGAGAATCCCAAGCATCTTTTATTGGCTTGACCAACTTATGTCAAAAGTTCTGCTGGCATAGCATCATTTTATGAAACACTCCATACCACCTGAGCCAAGTTTTTTTTAAATCAGCATACTAGTTTGACAAGGGGGGATTAGTTAAATGGAGATAAACCTTTCCCTTGTATTAGCCACCAAAAGAATATCTGCAAGCTTGACTTCCTCTCCCTTTTCTGCTAAATTACTCTGTAATTTCCTTGGCATTAGAGGGTTGAAAGACAGCATACTTGAATTTGATACAGTTTTGCATGCCAAATGTTACTCACTCAAAATCACCGTCAAGGCACTGCCTGAAGCAGGATATATACACAGAAAAATTGAGATTGTCAGTCTGACCACATATATCTTCTGCCTCATTCAGTTTGACCTCTCTTGGCCATTGTTATCTTCATCCTTGCCAGAAATCTTTAATTCATGGGTGTCAAACTCCATGGTGGTGTCATGTGATGTATTGTGACTTTTTTACCCTTCATTAAAACAGAGGTGGGAGTGGCCAGTGTGTGACGCATCTGGCCTGCTGGCCCAGAGTTTGACAGTCTTGCTTTAATTGTTTTTCTTAGTCAGCTCTTGACTCAATTATATCAGGGTTACCATTTGACTGTTCCGCTGCAATCACCAGTGTCTTAGGACATCCTGGTATCACATGAAGCTGTGTACACAACAGTGGTGGGTTGCAGGCGGTATGTCCTGGTACGGGCATACTGATGCCTGCTGGGAGCACCGGGTACTGTTCCGGTACGGTGCTCCAGAGGGCCCACTCTCCCACCCGAGCTTCTTATCTGTGAGCTCTTCAGTGCTTCCGCACATGAGTACAGAGCGTATGGCGCCTGCGCGACATTCTACCAAGCAGCTGGAGCATTGCAGAGGCATCACAGAGGTACTGCGCAGTGTATGTGGAAGATGCTGGGCCCTGTTGCGCCATACCGGTTGCACTGGGATCTGGAACCTACCACTAGTACACAATAATGGGAAGGGTACAGTTTGTACAGTAAATCTTTTGTAAGAGAAAGGTTTTCCTCTTCTTTTACATAAGTAGGTTGGAAGCTTTTCTCACCAGCAAATCTACTTTGAGAAATTATGTTCCTTCAAGTTCAGACAAATATTTAGCCACAGTGGCTTTCTCATTTGGACAGTGAAGAGGTTGGGGAGGAACATGGGCCAGTCCTGTAATTTGGGGAAAGCTCTGATGAGGGCTCTGTCTTGGAGGCAAAATTGAAATTGAAATTTAATGAATTTATATGCTGCCCAATCCCAAAGGACTCCGTCCGGCTTACAAAATACAATTCTAAAAAAGATAAAAATTAAAAATAGGGAGGAGAGACAGATTAAAAAAGAAACATGTCATGCACTTAATCTAGGCGGGGCTGGACCTCATTCATGAGGTCAACAGCCCCAGGCCTGCCAGAATAGCCAGGTTTTAGTAGCCTTTCGGAAGGCCGAGAGTGGGAAGGGTCCGGATCTCTAGGGGTAGATCGTTCCATATGGTCGGAGCAGCTACAGAGAAGGCCCTCCCCCGAGAAGTCTCCAGATGGCATTGTCCGGTCGACAGCACCCAGAGAAGGCCCATCCTGTGAGATCTTATCGGCCGTTGGGAGATATGTGGCAGAAGACGATCTCGCAGATATCTGGGTCCTAGGCCATGTAGGGCTTTAAAGGTGATAACCAGCACCTTGAAGCGTGTTCGGAGACCGATGGGGAGCCAGTGCAGCTCGCGGAGGATAGGTGTAACATGGGTGTATCTGGGTATACCCGATATCGCTCTCGTGGCTGCATTCTGGACCAGTTGTAGTCTCCGAACACTTTTCAGGGGCAGCCCCATGTAGAGCACGTTACAGTAGTCAAGTCTTGAGGTGACGAGGGCGTGAGTGACCATTTGAAGTGCCTCCCGGTCCAGATAGGGCCGCAACTGGGGCACCAGGCGAACCTGGGCAAAAGCCCCCCTGGTCACAGCTGACAAATGATGTTCTAGTGTCAGCTGCGAGTCCAGGAGGACACCCAAGTTGCAGACTCTCTCTGAGGGGTCTAAGATTTCACCCCCCAGGCTTAGAGATGGAATATCTGGACTGTCCTTGGGGGGCAACATCCATAGCCACTCGGTCTTGTCAGGATTGAGTGCAAGCTTGTTCACTCCCATCCAAGCCCTGACAGCTTCCAGGCACTGGCACATCACTTCCACCGCTACACTGAGAGAGGGGGCCAGAGCCGTAAGCCAGATATCAGCTGCCTTCAGAGTCAGATATCAGTGAGGCAGATGAACAGCTGGAGCCTGTTACCATGTACACATGCACAGAGTTGCCAGATTAAGGAAACAGCTTAAAAACGGGTCAACTTGGGAGTAAAGCCATTTCCTCCCAGAGGAAATAAAAGAGGAACAAAAGGGGAGTGGAGTTTGCAGGAGACAATTAGTTCACTTAATTGGCTTAATTGGCTCTGAGATTCCAAGTTTTTCAGATATTGGCGTGGCAGCTTTCCAAGCCAGACAAGGTCTGTGATTGTAAATCCTCCCTTGAAAGACTTTGCTGTATGTGAATGTACAGAATTCCTAGTAAATTAATAAAAAGGTTTTTTTGTCAAGACCAGGAGTTTGCTTCATGCTCTTGGGAAGCCTAGGTCAGAATACAGCCAGACTGTCTGAAACTAGGAAATGATACAATTGTGCATAGAATGATGTTTGCAAGGGGGGGATAAATGCTGATCTTTTTTTTTCTTAAATCCTGTAGGGTCTGTATTTTAATGGGAGTGCCCTTCTCTTGTACTTAATTGCTGCTATTTCAGAGGCAAATGCAGTCACCAAAGAACTTGACCACCACAATTACAATAGTTGGGCAGCATCTTCGGTAAGATCACATTTAAATTTAATATCAGCAGTGAGGGAATAATGTGTTTTTGCTTTGGTTCATTTACCTCCAAAATGATGATTAAAGATAATTAATAATAATTAGACATTCTTAAAATTGTTCTTAACTTTTGTTTAAAATATTACTTATTATCTCCATAGAGAGCCAGCTTAGTGTTAAAGCATCAGGTTAGAAACCAGGAAATAATTAGTTATAGTTCTGCCTTAGTGACTGGTCAATAATTCTCATGGCCCTAGAAAGGAGGCCCTGGCAAACCACTTCCAAAATATCTGGCAATAAAACTGCAGTAATAGTCTAGGCAGTTGCCAGGAGTCAAAAACTGACTCAAAAGCATTTTAAAAATTGTCTTCACTTAAGCAAACAGCCTACAGCCCTGTGATTTTTAGCTAGTCTCCTATTCAAGTATGGATCGTGCCTGAGTTTGTAATCTTAGCATTATCAACCTAGGTTAGGGGTATGCTAAGATATAAAGTGGCTGATTTGATCTTGCCCAGCAAATATTATCATTTATGGTAGAATATTAACTAAGCCACTATGGCTTGTGCAACAAATTGTGATATAGAATGATGGAAGAAAACAAGTGTGATCTTACTTTCCTCCCCTTATCTTTGCCTGGAGCCAAATATTAAGATGTTAGATTTACACAATTATGTCCCTGTGGCAGATATGTATGCACAAGTCATTACTGTTTTCAATAAGTTGTGCTCGAGTATAATAAAAATGTTGTCATCTTATTGATGTATTTCGTTTTCCAACTCCCTTTCATCTATTTCTTTTATTCCAAGGCAGAAAATGTTCTTATATTGTTATTTCTCCCAAAGTAACTTCCAAAACTAAAACTGTCTAGAAAGGCCAAATTCTTATGTTGAAGTTATACATAAAATTTAGCATTTGGAAAATGCTTCAATCACATGGCAATTAGGCAGCTTTGGAAAGCAAATAAAATCCATTGTTTTCTTCTTGAGAAAAAAACATTGTTTTAGCCTTTCATGCTATAAATATATGGCTGAGAGTGTGTGGAAAACTCTTGGTAAAATTTAAGAATCTATGTATAATGGAAGAATGATAAACACTGTAGATGACATTTATTTGCTGAGAATATTGGTTCTCTAATCTATGTTAGATACAAGACAATTTAATAAACATTTATTTCCTTTTCCCATGCAAATGAAATCAGCATTTGTAGTGCTATTAAGCCACGCTTTGGTGCACTTTTATGGAATAAAGCACCATGGAAACAAACTTGTCAAATACATACAAAACAGTAAAGAAGCAATATTATTTAACTAATTATCCTCCACTTAACAGCAATAAAAAATGTCACTTGTTTTCACTAATGTCACCATGAAATTGCTTCTTGCAAGGATTATCCTAATATTATGAATATATTAAAGTCCAATATTTCTTCCACATAATTTAGTGTCCTGCTAGGAATGAAAACAATGTGATTTTAAATTTATTTTTGTACTATCTCCTCTATTATATTTTGAATATAAAAATTTTTGAATATTAAAAATTTTGAATATTAAAAAAAATTGACTGAAGATTTTTACTGTTTCCTAATCATTTTGTTTCTCTCCCCTCCCCTTTCCCCCCATGTAGTTCTTTGCCTTCGTTGTTGCTTCCTGCTATGGTGGAAATACCTACTTTAGTTTTCTATCTTGGAGATCACAGACCTTGCAATAAGTATTATCTTCTAATAAAACAGAGCAGTGTGTAAATGTATATAATTTTGATGAAAATATTTACGTAATATGGTTTTCACTCAAAAGTAAAAACAATTTTTTTTTTTACAAATTATGGAAAGGATAGTTCACCTGACAGAAAAGGTTCTACACACTGTTCTCTTATTTATGTCATTTGAATTAATTGTGACATAGGTCAGTTACCACAAACAGGAAGCAGAAGGAAGAATTGATGATATAGGAGGGAAGAGAAGAAAGCAATGGAAGCGGTTCAATGTTGTTTACACTGGGGGCACTTCCATACACTATTGTGCTCCTTTGAAAGCTGCTCCAGATCTCAGGATTCTTGTCAATAGTGTTACAGAGCATTGTACAATCAGAGGCACTATCTGATGGAATTGATTTAAAATCTGAAAACGTTTGTAACATGAAAAGCATGTATTCTCAGATAAAATACTGTAACTAGAACATGTTACTCTTTGTATCAATTCATATTATTTCCTTGTATATTGTTGTTGTAACAAAATCTGTGGACTTCAGAGTTGTTTTCTTCATAAATGTTTTTGTTTAAGCATGCACTTATTTATTAGAAAAATCTATTATTTTGTAGAACCATCTATTTTTTGCAAATGTGTATAACCTTTCAAGGCTGTAGATCTATTACAGTTATAGATGGGAATGGTTAATAATTCATTTGGGTACATACATTTAGGGAAGCAACTGAATAAAAATGCATTACTATAATAATCTTGCACAAGTCTGTAGTATGATTGCTCTTAAAATACTGTGTTCCATTCTAATAACTGGACCTCACTTTAGATCTGGAAAAGATACAGAAAAAAAGAATTAAAATGATCAGGGACATGAATAATTTCGTTTAAAAATGTTTTTTAATCATTTTTCTTAAATGATAAGAATGTGGTACATGATTCAATACTGAAAAAGCAGGTAATAATTTTTCTGTTTCCTACAATGCTAGAACTGAAGAGTCATTATTTTATGACACTGAATGGTATAAGATTTGGGGCTGATAAATAGGAGACACTGTTCCAAAGAGCATAGAGCTTAACTCTGGAATAGTCCTGAAGGATGTGAAGATGAAGACCTTAAACCACTGTATAAGGAATGAAACAAATTCAAAAAGGACTGAGGTGCCCATTAGCCCAGGTGCTGCTGGCAGCATTCCTCGGAAAACTAGTTGCTGAGAAATATCAGTGAAAAAATTAATAAACCACTATAATTTGTGGTTTCTTTAATCAGAACTCTATATTTTAGATTTAATATTGGTTACAACATTAGTGAAAAGATGGCTCCATTTTGAGATCCACCTATGTAGTGCAGTGATTTTAAAATGCCTGGAAGATCAGGAATCAACCCCACTACCAACCCTAGCTGATTTTGGTTCATCTCTTAGGGTTACTGTTATGGAAAAACGTGTAAATTGAACTTGTGCGGGGAAGTTTTGATATGAACAAAAACATGAATAGTGTAAAAAGTTTTAAAATGTCATTGTGTATGCCCACTTCCCAAGGTTCTTTACCATGTTGTATAAAAATTATTTGCTGCTGAACTACCTTCCCTTAAAAGCAGAAATCTTATATATATAGGCTTAGGTTCTTGGAGCTTTTTACATGCAATCATCTTAAGATAGAGAAACAAATATATACATTCTCTGAGGAACTGAACAAACACAATTCCACATCAGTGGAACACAATTTGACCACTTAACATTGTCAAAAGTCAGCATTAATATTCCAAAGTTACTGCAACAGAAGCTATGACTAGGGGAAGGGGGAACAAAAAAATTATAATCTTAGAGAAAGTTTTGAATATGAGTGTTTGCTTTCAGCAATAACAAGTTTTCAAAAAAAATAATGATGTACTCATCCATATTAAGCACAAAATGGTCACTTTTCTTACATATTTCTGGCATATTTATTTAATATAGAATGCTTATAATTTGCCAGTTTAGTGTAATGATTAAGGAGTTCCGCTGGAAACCAGGAGACTGAGTTCTAGTCCCAGTTTATGCATGAAAACCAGCTGGGTGATTTTGGGTCAGTTAATCTCCCTCATCCCAACCTATGTCACAGGGTTATTGATATGGGGTAAATGGCAAGAGGAAAGAAGCATTATATGTTTACCCCCCTCATGTTACAAGTAAAATAAAAAGTGGTCAATTAAAAAATCTTTAAAAATAGAAAAATCTTGTCAATCTTTTGATTGGTGAATAGCACAACACAAGCACATACACACAAACACATAGAGGTAATCAATCCATAATTGCAGATTACAAAAACAAATTCCTACAATGTGCTTTAATTTTGCATTGGGTAGATTTTACTTGCTCCTGAAAATGCAATAAAAACTATCCATAGGTTGGGGAACATCATGCTATCCCATTGTTGATGTCCAGTATACCTCTCATGGGGGAATCTTTAACAAATCCTTTCTGGATGTCTGAAATTGGATGGGAAGATTTCATTTCGGCAAGCTGTAGCTGTTGATTCCTGTTCTATCCAGAGTTCTATAGATCTCTGATTAACCTGACTTCATGTCTCAAATAGCCAGCAGGCCAGTTCATCCAGATTACGTAAAATCTATGATGTACATGAAAAATTTAATTCTCACAGTTTAAGATCAACAGGCTATATTTTTTTAAGTAGGGCCAGTTTCACAACCAGGACTTACCCCAGAATACTACATTGAGTATTTTGTGGGATACTTAATTTATAACCTATATAAACTTTACCATACCCGTAGTTAAGTTTTCTATAATGGAAATGTTCTTTAATTTTATGAACATTAAAATAGTAGAATAATTGGATAACCTCACTGAAGCATCATAATTTTTAAAATGAAGGACTAATGCAGTACCATCTGAAAACCTAGTGTAAAAAGAAACTAACCAATTTTCTCATTGGTTTTGTCATCTTCAAACAAATTCAGAATCCCATGAATTTGGAATTTCTTCCCTATTTTTCCCCTAAGAATTTCAGTGTTAGTGTGACAATTATGACAATATACAATTAAATATTTCACAATTTAGCCTGAAGCTGGATTAGTCAGATTCTTCAATTTAACCCAGCCATTGACATTTTATATATAAAAATGCAGAGTGCATCACATATATTATCTCTAAGCAACTTGAAGGAACAATTGGATTAAAATATATGTGAAATTAATTACATTAAATTGTCTACAAGTAGCAAAATCATTTAGGCTAAAGTAAGCTCATATGAGTTATAGTCAACAGATGATAGTATCTAGCTAACTATGTCTGAATAGAGAATCCAACCAAGATATTTCTGATTAGTAGATAATAGAACACGAGACTGTCAGAGAATGCCAAGGTTTCTGGCTATGGGAAATTGAAAAATATTTTGGAAGGTGATTGTGGCAAATTTTACAGAATATATATGGTATTTCTGAGAAAACTGCATTGGTGTGTCCATAAAGTCACCAGTAGTCAAGCTTGATTATCAGTCTTTATGTCATGCAGAATGCTCTCAAATCAGAGTTAATTACCAGTTAGCAATTCTTTTATTTAATCCTTATAGTTGGGGTAAGGCTCTATAATTTTGGGACACCTTGAGAAATTCATTTCCTGAATTCTCACTTTTAGTTTTAGCTATGTTAGCATTCTGAAGCTTCTTTCAGATGCCAATACAATGTGGTGAATCTCAGTAAGAGAGCATTGCCATTGGATATGGAGTCCTGTGACAGTAAAATGGGTGGGTGAATAAATTTAATAAATAAATAATCCATGCAGTTGACCATACATGTTCATTGCCCTACCTTTCTGCAGACTAGCCACTTCCAAAAGTATGACTGCTATTCCCAGAGTTTGCTGCCATTATGTTCTTTATAACTGGAAAATCCAGAGCTGGATAAGGTCTAATTCACAGTCTATGGGATCAGGCCAAGGATCTGCTTCAACATCGGGTCCTAATTATATAATAAATCTACTCTTTTAATTTATACTGACTTTTCTTTTAAAATAAAGTGTACTGTTTGAAGTAACTTCTAGATTTCTTGGTATTTGCTTTTGATTTCTATTTGTACTTATATTAAGAACTTCTATAAGGTATTTAGGAGAAAGTTCCCTTTTAACATCTGCATTATGATTAACTTTTATATGAGCTATTCTGGTTTATTTGTCTCAACAGGCTTAAAGATACTCTAATCAGTCTTAAACTTGCAGAATGCCTATAAAAACTTGCAACTCTAACCAACTGTTTCTTTTGCTCTTCCATTGTTTTGCTTTCTATGATCATGACGAATTCTAAAAATACCTTTTAATATCTTATTTGCCTAATGATGTAGCTCTTGTTTTTATTTTCCCCATTATACTCTAAGACGACCATTTTGCAAAATAATTACCCATCCTCTTTCGAAAAACTTTCGCAGCAGCAGCTCCGAAGCATTTCACCACTTCTTCCCTCGCCACCAATTTAATAGACTTCCTGTTTATCATATATGTGTGCAGAGAGAGGAGGGAGCCCTTTTCTTCCATCTGCCACCTCCTTCCTGTTTTACCTTCTCTCCCTCTTCGCGCGTCGAGCACCGACGCAGCACTGGGTTAAGCGCTCCAGGAGCCCTCTCCCCGACATGATTCCCTTCCCCCAAACCAGTATCTCCCCCCTACCACTTTACTCCCATGGCTTTAGTGGGACGCTTGGCCGGCTCTTAACTGTACAAGAGGCATCCTAGCCAGAGAACTGCTGGGCCCCGCCCCGCACTGTCCCGCCTCTGGTGTTAAGTGTCGCAATAGGTTTTTTTTGGGGGGGAGGGGGGAGAAATTGAACCCGTTCGTTCTGGAAGGTGTTGGATATATCACGGCATGCGGGTCATCCGTACCGACACCAGCAGTGGGGGCACTCGCAGCTCTTCTGCTCCGCCGCCACTTTCCTACGGGCCAGACACCGGACTACTCGACAGAGGCTACGCGGGCTCTTGCTCTGCCATGCTGAAAGTGGCCCAAATGGTAAGGATCAGAAGGGACAGAGAGTCCCAGGGAAGCGGGGGGGGGGGCGGAGGGAACGAATGTTTCGCCAAACTGCGGGAGTAACTGCGCTTTCTGACCATTTCAAGTTTTGCTAGGATTTGTTTGCCTGTCGGGTGTTTCCTAGGAAAGGCAGCAAGATTTTGCACCGCCCAGCCAACAACAGCTGGCGCTGCAGGCTGCGTTCATCGGAGTGGCCAACGCCCTGCACGTGTTACCTACCCCAGTTCCCGCCAGGAATTGATTGACGACAAAGAGAGAAACTGAGGCGAAGAGCGGCTCCGAGAGAGCGCCCCGGTTGGGCGATCTGGAAACGATCCCTTGCAGCCGGCGCGCCTTTCCGACTCTTCTGAGGGGAACAGTGGTGCTGTTTCCTGCAGGTTGTGGGCAGAGTCAAGTTCTGTTTTAATAGATTAACAGAGTTGAGTCTCTCTAGGCTGCCCAGAACAGTGTGCCTGATTTACTTTATATGCTTGAGAAGAGGGCCGCATAAAATTTTTAAAACAAAGCTAATTGAGACTTTGAATAAAAAACTAAAAGAAATCGCAGCACTGTGAGGCAGAATACCCCAGTTCATTAGTACTGTTTTTATTATTGCAGTCCTTTGAATAAGTAATCTCAGTTATTCTTTGTAGCCTGCATACATTTATTTAGTTGACCAATTTAACTTGAGAACTACATTTAAAGACTTGTCTTTCAGGAGTTGAAAATATAATCTCTAGGCTTGAATTAGAAATGCAAACAATTTTGGACAGGTAACTAACCACACAAATTGCAGAATAGGGACTGTTTCAACAGGTGTTCAGCCATCTCTGCTTGATTATTCTTATTTACTACTGTGGATCTTTCATAAAAAGAGCCTTTCATTAACACTTCATTCACTTGCTTGGAGAAAGGGGCCTGTTAAATACTTTCATGCTGCAGCAGAGGCTGTTCCCACTTCTCTCTGGGAAAAGACTGGACCTGCACACCCAGTGGTTAACCAGTATTAACCACTGGCCTTGAACCCATTTCTCCAGTGTATTCTGGAATGTTGGACTATGAATTGTGTCTTCCCTAGCCAGCATGGCAGTCTTTGGAATAATAGAAATATGGAGAAATCAGAGAAAATTATTCTAGATCTAGACACTGAACAGTTCATATGTTGTTCATAAATTGTTCATACATAAATGGCTCATACATATATGGACTGTTTAAATATGGTTTATTGAATAACCTTATGCAATATTTCAAGCAGAACCAAATAAATCACACTATAATTTAAATCTGGGGCAGGCAGGAAACTCCAGGGCCACATGTGCCTCTTCACTGCAAGCCAGATAATCTCTTCTGTTCACGACTGCTGAAAATTGATGTCAGTTTCCTCCTATTTTGTGATACAGAACTCAGCCTAGAGTTTAATCTATTTTTTAATTAATTAAACATTTAAGAAAGAAATCCTACTTGAAGAAATACTGTAGTAGACAATGGATTAATCTGTCAACAAAATGAATGGACGATAGAGTGTAAGGGGAACAGACGTTAAAGTAAGGATGAGTTTATATCAGACAAGAGATATGCAAACTACACTTTTTGCTTTTCAGGGAATCCCTAAAATATGTACAGGTAGTCCAATTTCTGTTGTTAACTGAAACATTTGTTAAGTGAGTCTTGTTGATTTTACGACCTTTCTTGTCACTGTTGTTAAGTAAATCACTGCAGTTAATAAGTTAGTAAGACAATTATTAAGTGAATCGGTTCCACCACAAAACCGTGGTGGACTAAAGCGCGCTCGACGAAAGCGCGTACATGACGTCATCACAGCGCAATGAAAACAGCATGCTGTGAGCGGTAAATTTAAAATTAACACGAAAACCTTACCCTAACCCCCCCAAACCTAACCCTAAACCTAACCCTAAACCTAACCCTTAACCTAACCCTAAACCTAACCCTTAACCTAAACCTAACCCTTACCTTTATGTGAATCGGCTTGCTTTAATTTTATTTTAATTTTAATTTAATTTATTTTTAATTTTATTTGTCGTGCTGATGATGATGTCAGGTATGCGCTTTAATCGGGCGCGCTTTAGTGGACCGCGGTTTTGACGGGTAACGAATGAATCTGGCCTCCCCATTGACTTTGCTTGTGAGAAAATCCCAAAAGAGGATCACATGACCCCTGGGACACAGCCATAAGTCCCATGCTGACGACTGGAAGTCTTTCTTTTCAAAATTGTTAACTCTGAACATTTTATTATTCTTGTAATGTAGTCTTTCATGCATTCTTCACAGAAATGTTTTGTTTTGTTCTGCTATTTGTCTTACAGTTATTGTTGCTGGTCGGATTCATTTGTGTCAGATCTTCACAGTGGACAGATCACAATGCATACAGCTACTTTGAATTTGTCTGCATATATGACTTAATTATGATCTTCATCTTTTACATTATCTACATCTTTAGAGCCTATCAAAAGTTGACTTGCATCAGCTGGCCACTTGCGGTAAGTTTCTATCTTTGTCAACTTCCAGAAAGATTACTACTTAAATGGTTTTGTTAGACTTGTAACTGCACATCATCAATTCCTATGTAGCATTTTTATTCCATTTACTTATTATTTAGAACTGCAGTTTCTGATGATACATGATTTCCTAGATCTTAAGAAAATATTAACAGAGAAACAAGAATACTGAATGTCTTCTTTCCCTTATAAAGTTAAAATGACCAATTTTTAATCAATCTGTTTGGGAGGATTTGGTTAAACACTTCTGCAACCTGAATTTTTAGCAAGGTATTGGGAATAGATGTATACACTTTACTACTCATAATTTGCTCTGATTTAGTTATCATTCTTGCAGATTATTGACCATAATTGCTTAGATGTGTAATGATCCCCGTATTTCCTCATTTTAGTTTATTTTTTTCTACTGCTACCTCTATATAGCATCCATTAGGCAAACAAGCCTGCCTAGCGCCTACCAGTGACAAGAAACATACTCATCAAATAAAGGGGCACTGTATCTTACTTACAGCATATAGAATATCCCAGCCTTACCCCCAGACATCTCTAGATTGAAAAACCTGAAAGGCATCTGACTATGACTATTAAAGAATGAGGTTAAGTTCTTAGCCAGCCACCCTCAGGGAAAGCAAGATTCTTCCAGAGTATCTTATCCAAGATCTACTGAAAGAGGATAGGAGAGAAATCTCAACACCTGGATTGTTCCACTTCTCTCCCCCCAACCATTCCATTTATTTTCAAGGTTCCTAAAGCATAAACTTACATAGCTGAAAGTTTCTTATGCATGGCTCCTGTGTGAATTGTTGAGGAGGCTGGTGTCTTAACTGATATGGGAGGAATATCCTACTTATCTGAAAGTGAATGTCTATCTTATAAAAATACCATTCTACTCCATCACTGTCAATAGGCAAAGCTAAGCCAGTTACAATAAGTATAAGGCAACTTCATATTTTCAGAAAGGTCTACCATGCTGAATACATAACTTTTCATTTATATACTACTAAAACTCTCATATCCATACCTTTAGGTGAAACATTCTGAACTAACTGAGTAATTACAGAATGTCTCCAAAATCTGGAATTCATGACTCCTGTGGAATTGAAATTTGGCAAATTTTGTAGAACATTTTACAACATAACAGTATCATAAAACAGTTTATGATATAATATAAAAGCTCATAAAACATTTCTTCTCATCAGCTCCTGATGTTTGCTATACAGTTCAACATGGACTATTTCCAAGGTGGTTAGAGAGTGTCAATGAAGCAATGAACGTGGGTTTGGGCAAACTTTGGGAGACAGTGAATGACAGGGAATCCTGGCATCTTCTTCAGAAAGAAGAGGGGATCAACGTATTTTCCAAAGCACCAAAAGGCAAGACAACAAACAATGGATGGAAACTAATCAACGAGAGAAGCAACTTGGAATTAAGGAGAAATCTGACAGTGAGAACAATTAACCAATAAATTTCCGAATATTTCCTTGAATCTTTAAAAAAAAAACTTTTACAGTACATTAGAAGCCATGCCATTTTTGAAGTCATTGAAAAATCTGGTAAGGAAATATCTCTGCAAAGATGAACAAAGGGGTCATGGGTTGTCTGGTGATCTCATAGAGCAGTCATTGGCAAACGATCGATAGAAACTGTCCAAAGAGAGAAAATTGATACGTGCTTCCATAATCATTTTTAAACAAGACAGTGGAGTAACAACCATATCCATTTTATTAAAATGGTATTTTTCCCTTCTGTCTTTCATTCAGGAAAGGTTATCTAGAGGAAAATGAATAAATACTGAACAATAAAATGTGAATAGATCAATATGATAATAAAGAAATGAATGGGCGGAGAGCAAGAGGGGGAGGCAGAATTTGCCACCAATCCAGCAGCAAGTTCCAGCACAGAACTCCATTTGATTCCTTGGACAATTAGCAGAGCCAGATCTTCAGGCTCCTGCAGAAGAATAGAGGATGGGTCAGATATTACCTTAGAGCAGTGTTTCTCAACCTTGGCAACTTGAAGATGTCTGGAGTTCAACTCCCAGAATTCCCCAGCCAGCGAACACTGGGAGTTGAGGTCCAGACATCTTCAAGTTTCCAAGGTTGAGAAACACTACCTTAGAGAGGTGGGTTTCCAAAGGGTGAGCACTGCAGCAGAGATGGTGCAGTGTCTGCCCTTCTGGATTCTGATAGTCAAAGTTCTTTGATCAACAGTATCCAAAATAGACTGTCTCTGCCAGCATAAGTAGAACAGGCTTGCCTTAGTTGGATGAGACAGTTCATCAGGGAGTCTGGATCTATGCCATTAAGGATAATCAATACCTTGAACAGTACTCAGAAGCAGACCATTAGCCAATGTAGTTTGGGGAGCAGAGGTATAATATGGATCATCTTAGGATTCCTAAAGACTGGTCTTGCTGCCCCATTTTGCACCAACTAAAGCTTCCAAATAGATTTAAAGGGTAGCACCATGTAGAGTGCATTGCAGTAGTCAGGCTGAGAGATGACTAGGATTTGAATAACTGAGCACAGGGATTCATGATCCAGGAAAGTTTGCAACTGGTGCATAAACTGGAGCTGTACAAAAGGTCTCTTAGACAGGCTTACTACCTGTTCTTTAAGCAGGAAATGTAAATCCTGGAGGACCCCTAAGTTGTAAACTGAGTCTGAATAGATAGTGCAACCCCGTCCAGAACTAAGGATGACAAAAACATGGATCCTGAAGGTCACTTCAGGCACTATGAGAGGGGCAGGAACAGCAAAATCCGAATCACCAGGTGTAGAGATGGAGAGCTGGGTATCATCAGCATGTAGATGCTATCTCAGCCCATGGTGACAGATGATATCATCCAATAGCTTCATGTGTAGATGTTAAACAGGAGAGGAGAGAATACTGAACCTTCGGGGCACAGCAAGTGAGCAGTTGGGTGCTGGATTTCTCAATCCTACCTACATCAATTGGGACTAACCTTGGAGAAAGGAGTTGAGCCAGCACAAAAGTACTACCCAGCCCCAGTCATGTGGCTGTCCCAAAAGAATATCATGGTCGATATCAAATGCCACTTAAGAGTTCAAGTAAAGCAAGAATGGTTGCAATACTCCCATCCCACCCCCGCCAGAGATTGTCCATGACTGTGGCCAAAACTGTCTCTGTGTCAGAGCCAAGCCTGACTGAAGGGAGTCCAGGAAATTTGTTTCATCCAGGACCCCCCAGTGATGTCAAGCAACCACCTTTTCCACCACCTTCCCCCCAAAAAAGAATATGGGAAATAAAAATTATTCAAGCAGATGAGTTCAACTGAAGGTTTTTTTAAAGGAAGGGAAAAACCAGGGCATCTAAAATGTCCTGGGAATGTTTGTTCTTGCAGTGAGGAATTTGTACTGCATGAACCCATCTGCTGTTCACCGTCCTGCATGCTTTCACCAACCAGGAGGACAAGAGTCTAATTGACAGGTGGTTGCACTGAGAGTACAGAGGATCACATGGAGAATGATTGCAGTAATTGGGTATGTCTAGTTTAATGAAAAGAAACATTAAGAGTAATATAACAGCAGTGTTCCAACACCTAAGGCGCTGCCACAAAGATGATGGGTCAATCTATTTTACAAAGCACCAGGAGGCAAGACAAGAAACAATGGATGGAAACTAATCAAGGAAAGAACCAACCTAGAACTAGGGAGAAATTTCCTGATAATGAGAACAATCAGTGGAATTACTTGCCTCCAGAAGATATGGGTGCTCCAAAATCGAGATTTTTAAGAACAGATTGGACAACCATTTATTTGAAATGGTTTAGGCAGGGGTGTCAAACTCAAGAACCGAGGGCTGGATCTGGCCTGTGGGATACTTAGATCTGGCCTACAGGGCCACCCTGGAAACAGTAAAGAACCAGTCTGTGGAGCTTCTGCCAGCAAAAACAGGCTCCTGAACTCCATTTTCAGCTGCTACAGCCTCCTGCAACCCTCTGCCAGCATAAAAGGAATTCGGGAGGGCTGTGCACTGCCCTCCTGAGCTTAGTTTTCACTGGCAGAGGGTTGCAGGAGGCTGTGGCAGCCAAAAAGGGAACTCGGGAGCCTGTTTTCACTGGCAGCACTCAGGCCACCCCAGGCGCCCCCGACAAGTGATGTTGAGCTGGCCACGCCCACTCTGATCATGCCCACCCTGACCCCCAGAGGTCAAACAGCCCTGATGCGGCCCTCAATGAAATCGAGTTTCACTCCTGGTATAGGGTCTCCTGCTTGAGCAGGGGGTTGAACGAGAAGATCTCCAAGGTCCCTTCCAGCTTTCTTATTCTGTTACATAAAGTCATTAGCTACACCTGGGGCTTCAATCACACTGAAATGTTCCTTTGATAAGCCTCTGATGTAAAGTACAGAATCTTGGTAGCTTTTCTTCTAAACTATATTGTCTTTGTTTCATTTTAGGAGTTTCTTCATTACCTAATAGGTACCATTCTGCTTCTTATTGCATCCATTGTGGCAGTTGCAAAAAGCTCCAATTCAGCAGGCCTGGTAGCTGGAGCGGTAAGGCTGTTTGCCAGTTTTGTTATATATAAGCAACTTTATCAGATCTTAAAATATATGTCAAGTTTTTCCCCATAATAAACACACTTGAAGAAAGGAGAGTCCATATAAACATATTGATTGTGGATTGGGTGTGTTTGATCTTAAAAAATACTGGCAAAGTTATTTAACATTGTTTTTTCCCACTATTGCTCTAATCCTCCATTATCAAAATCTACACTCTGCACACAATTATTAGGCAAGTTGTATTTTTGAGCATTAATTTTATTATTAAATAACTACAATGCTCTCAGTCAATCCAAAATGTTAAAAACCTCAAACCTGAATATTTAACAAAATAAAAGTGAGGTTTTGGCTTTCTTAGGAGAATATTAATGGGTGCACAGTTATTGGGCAACTATTTGTGTAAAGAATTGTGCAACTAGAAAAAAATTCCCATCACACACATTTATTTGCATCTGTTAAATAAAGAATAATAAACTCAAAATGTACAAATAAACATTTCTGACATTTTAAAAAACATCAGTGACCAATATAGACCAATTTCATAGACAAAAGCTAGGAAAAGCTCTAGGCCTAGACAAGATAACTCCTTTTTGCTTAAAAGTCTGTGCTGACCAATTGGCCCCCATCTTCACCTGAATTTTCAATAAATCACTAAAGATGTGCTATGTTCTTTCTTGCTTCAAATCCCACTGCCGAAGAAGCCCACTGTCAAGGAGCTGAATGACTACAGAACAGTTACTCTAACATCTGTGGTTATGAAAACCTTTGAAAGGCTAGTGCTGTCTCACTTGAAAACCATCACGGATCCACTGTTAAACCCCCTGCAATTTGCATACCAAGCAAATAGATTGACAGATGATGCTGTTAATATGGCTCTGCACTACATCCTACAACATCTTGAATCTCCAAAGACCTATGCAAGAGTCCTCTTTGTAGACTTTAGTTCAGCATTCAATACCATCATTCCAGACATTCTTCTAACTAAGCTAAACCAGCTAGGGATACCTGAACACACTTGTAAGTGGATCATAACCTTCCTCACAGACAGGAAGCAGCAGGTGAAGCTAAGCAGAATCACATCACTACATCTCAAACAATCCATCTGTTAAACTACTGAAGTTCGCAGATGATACAACAGTGATTGATCTCATTCGAGACAATGATGAATCCACATACAGATGGGAGGTTGAACAACTAGCCTGGTGGTGCGACTGAAACAATCTGGAACTGAACACACTCAAAACCGTAGAAATGGTGGTAGACTTTAGAAGAAATCTCCCATACTACCACCACTCACAATACTAGACAACACAATATAAACAGTAGACACCTTCAAATTTCTAGGTTCTACCATATCTCAAGACCTAAAATGGAACACCTAACATCAAAAATGTCATCAAAAAAGCACAACAAAGAATGTTCTTTTGCGCCAGCTCAGAAAGCTTTTGCCCAAGGAGTGCTGATTCAGTTCTACAGAGGAATTATTGAGTCTGTCATCTGCACCTCTATAACTCTCTGGTTTGGGTCTGCAAAGAGACAGACACAGACTTCAGAGGATAATTTACAACTTTTTGCTCTAGTTGCAAGGTTCTCATACCCTCAATTTCTCAATCTCATCACAGATAATAGAAACAGATTAAGAGAAAGAAATGTCTTTTCCCATCCCTTTCGATCATTGTATTTTCATTACAATTATACTGAAAATGCATTCTGCCATAGTTTACATGGAAGAAAAAATAAAATCTTTCTTGGAAAGGTGATAGTGGACAAAGCTCACTCTTTCCAATTACTACTGTATCTAAAATCATTTGTTACAAATTGTAATTTGCAAGCAGATTTCTGCTGGTTGGAATAATAGAGAGTGGGAGGACAAAAATGTATGCATTTGACAGTACTTGAAGTAAATGTCTATTTCCGTGTTTATTACTAACCTCTGGACACAATTGATACATTCTTTGAAATGTTAAAGGCTGTTTAATATTATTTAGAATTTATGGAAATTTAATGTAAAATATTTTATGTTTGGCTGCTTTGCTGATACTTTTTTTAAATAATTTTTTTTTAAAAAATAGATCTTCGGATTCTTAGCTACATTTATGTGCCTCCTAAGTATATCGCTCTCTTACAAAATCTCTTGTAACACTCAGTCAGCAGGTAAGATCCTAATTAATCAGTTTGACCAATCAGCTCTATGTTTTTCCTTTTTCCTTGCACTATTTAGTCCATAGACAAATCCATTATATTTTTTCAGACTCTATAATCTATTTATGTTTATTATTTAATCTGGAGAATGATGGGGAATTGATAGTGATCTGTTCCACTTATTTATTTGTCTTAGAGAGAGAGCAAATGAAAGGGACCTATTCTTCACTCAAGCAGCTTAGAGCGACATGCACAGTATTTTCCCTAAAACAATCTAATGGGAAATATTGATCAAAAAGACAATGACATCCTTTTTCCTCACTACAGTTGTAGGAAGAATCTTGTATCCAACTGTGTGATGAAGTCATATTCAGATCTGAATTTTTTATTATGTATTTACAGCCAACCAATCCCTTCCATCTTGATTATGTGTGATATGAATCTGGGCTTCTTAAATTCTGTCTTGGGTCCTAATCATTATTCCAGTTTTGCTCTTGAAATAATATTCAATGAAGGAAGAAATACTTTGGGAATTGTACACATATTGTCATTGCTGATTTGGCTTGTGTAGAGAATAGCAGAAATTAGAGTTTTCTTTCTTGGTTATACTATAGTCTGGCAGTGACATTGCAAATTGCTCTGGTCCTAAGAAATTTGTTCTTATTTCCTTCTGCTCTGTGCAGAATTCTGCAGCTTACTTGTAGATACAAAATTTATGAAACAAGACTAAAATAGGCATTCCATGTTTGATGGCTGAAGAATTCAAGAAGTAGCCCTATTGCCAAGTAATTTATACTTCATTTGTTGGTTGTTCAAAACATTTGCAGTTTCTTCACTGATCTCCTTTAGTTTAAGATTTTCTTGACTGATCAAGATAAACTTCTATCCCAAATTTCCCATCTCACATACTGTATAGGCAGTTGATTTTTATTATTTGCAATATTTCAATAAGTAATTGTTTTATTTTATCAATTAAAGTATATTTATTTGTCAGTTGCTATGAGCCAGGACAAGTAGTCTAAAATATTTATTTAAAAATTAATTTACAATTTACTGGGTAATCTTGATTTTTTCAAAGCATTGAGAACTTTAAGATTACTTCTTGTAATAATAGAGAAAAGGCACCAATATGCTCTTCTAGTTAAATACAGTAAATACTTAAGATACAGCAGATTTCTTTCATGTGTTTATGGGCTCATCACTCTCCATATTTTAATGCAGGCAACAATCATATTTGGCTGATTATTTTGCCCCCCACCCCAGATTTGATGGAAGGCACTCTGTGCTACTCTAAAGTTTTGCTATTTGAGATATTTTGCAAACTTAAATTTAATGAGACCATTAAAATTGCAGTAAGTTGATTTTAGTCTTTTCTCTTCTCTCCTATTTTTTAGATGCTACCGTGTAAATCTTTTGCTACTTCAAAATGTGCACACCTCTTGAGGGAAGAGCTTAGAAAAACATGCAAGATGGAATGGTGTACTGAGATGACTCTGAAAAGCATTCTTACTGGGCCTAGAGTGCCATCTTGTGGCACTTTTGAGCCACTTCTGGGGCTACTGTACAGCAGCCTGTTTCATCCGGTCAAATTTTTGGATCCTGGGAGAGAAGAATGGCTGCAGTAAAAGATCCTTTGGGAAGGAAAGAATCCATATTTTAAACAAAGAGAAATTATCCTCTTTTAATTCCAGCTGCCAATACTTCACAGATTGAAGACCAATCTTTAAGACCTAGACCACTAAGGAGAATCCAAATTAAAATTCCATTAAAATGGAAAATATATTCTGCATCAACCCAGCTACGACAGGCAAAAATTGGAAACATTCATCATGAACCAACAACCGTTGCATCTCAGAAATCACCTTCTTACCTCTCTGCATTTCCTGCCTTCGGGTTCTAGCTCTTAAAATAGGCATCTCGTTTAACCTGTGTGAATATGAGGCTGCCTTAATAGGATGGTTTAAGATGGTTCCACCCCAATTTTTGGATTGTGCTCCCTTTAATTAGTATGAATTTCTTTTGGGGGACAAGATTTTAAATGGATTTGTTTAATGATACAGTTTAAATTTTATATTCTTTTGATTTCTTTTGCTTAGTTTTTATTTCTCTTGCCATGTATTTTTATTATATTTTTTATATATTATAACTGTATACCTATCAATATAAGATCCATTAAGAATGAAGAATGTTTACTAAAAATCCACTGCATTTTGCTGTTCCCTTTTCATGTTGTGATACACTACAATGAATTTACACTTATTATTAATTTACATGGAAAATACAATTCTCTGTAAGGATCCACAGAAGCAGCATCAAATTATCTACACTGGGTGAAATAAGAATCCAATATATATTAATGGGAAGAATAAAAAAACAGATACATTAATTGATTGATTCTACTATGCATTTATAAATATACTCATAATGCTTAGAGAAATTTGTAGTACACCTATTCTAAAAATGGTAACTCTTCAGCAAAATATACGTTTACAAGTGATGCTGTACTATTATATGAATCCATGAATGATTATCCTTGGCATTAGGATGTGTAGATACATTTATTTATTTTCTTTTTCCTAATGAATACTAATGAAGAAATGCTTTAGTTTG